CCCAGCAGGCTGCCCAGAGCTCCAGCACCTGCTCCCCAGTGCAGCCTCCCCTGGAGCCACAAGACAGGGGCACAGTACTCAACACTGGTCTGCGGCTAGTCCTCCAGCACGTGCAGGCGCTGCTGATCAAGCGGTTCCACCACGCCACTCGCAGCCGCAAGGACTTCCTGGCCCAGGTATTCCCAAGGGCTTCTTCGGCTGTGCTCTTTCACTCTGCCCAGGACCCAACAGGCCCGTGGGTACAAACACAGCCCGCAGCACCCTCTTTACATCCTGCCTACTTCACTTTCTCCCTGCCAAACCTTTCTTTTGATTCAGAGCCATAAAAGCCTTCTTTATGAGAACTGAACCCCCCTCAACAAAGAAAATGAAATAGCAGTGAATATGCTAATATTGCTCTTCTTTATTACAGAGAAAGGCAAAGTCATGTTTTCACTCCTTTCTACAGTGACACTATATATGTGCAGGTCATTCTCCTCATTTTTCTTTTCCTGTTTTTCATTCAGAAAAAGAAATTCTGCTTCAAAGAATGGGAAGTCATGTGACTTGCTCTTTGAGTTGACCTTTAGCCTCTGGTTGAGCATTGCCTATATTCAGATTCTTTGATGGCCACAAGAACATTCTGTTTTCTTTTACATATCCTGTCTTTGTACACCCTGTTTGTTCCCCCAGAATCCCATCTTCCATCAGGATCTGACCATGAGGCTGTATTTATATCTCTATACCACAGCCGTGTGTCCGTGTGTATTCTCCCACAGATGGTGCTCCCAGCCACTTTTGTGTTCTTGGCTCTGGTGCTTTCCATCATTGTACCTCCTTTTGGTGAATACCCTGCCTTGACCCTCCACCCCTGGATATATGGGCAGCAGTATACCTTCTTCAGGTACACAAACTTGTTCCCAGAGGTCACCATTATCCTCCATAGTGTGGAGCTCCTAGGCTACATGCTGCCTGGAAGGGCTCTGACTTCCTCACTTCCCTAAGATCTCCACCAATACAGCAGGGGTCCTTGGGTTTCCCTCAGAAAAAAAGTTAATGTACTGCCATTGCCTAGAAACAGAGAGTAAGAAAAGAGAATGCAAAGTGGGGAAAGTGAGCAGAGGAGCCATCTTTTTGAGGTGTAGATGGTCTTCTAGGTTTATTCATGCAGCCCACCCCATTCCCAGGAGACCTACAACCATCCCTAGGCAGCATTCAGAGCTTTATGAACATGCCTGGCATGTAGTAGCCATTCCCTAAATGCTTTGAATTGGATGTGGGCTGCTTTTGTCCACTCCGTCACAGTCACGTGACCACCAGGTAAGCCTCTCTCACTCTGTCTAGCATGGATGAGCCTGGCAACAAGCACCTTGAGATACTGGCAGACGTCCTCCTGAACAAGCCAGGTTTTGGCAACCGCTGCCTGAAGGAAGAGTGGCTTCTGTGAGTTCCTTTGCCCCCTTGTCCTGACACCATATCTCCCCTGGGAGCCTGGCAGTAGGGCCTGGGTTGGCAGGGATGGGAGGGACACCCTCCGCCCTGCTCCGTATTTTGTGGACCACTTCCCTGTTTTAGACCAGTGCTTACCCAGCCTCTTCTTTAGCACTTGTGTGCAAGGGCAGTCACTACCTCCCAGGTAGCTCCTGCAACATTGGAAAGCTCTGTATTTCTCAATATAAAAATTCCATATTGAGTTGATATATGAGTCCCCTTAATTTATTTGAAAGGCCTCCTGAGCAGGGGCAGGAGGGAGATGGAGCATATGCTGTTGTATAACTGAACCCTAACTGGCATTAATGACTTCTATGGCCAGCTCTCAATTATTGTTTTAAGTATAGAGAAGGGAGTTGTAGGGGTGAGTTGAAATTCACCAGAAATCCTAAAGGTTCAAATGTAATTTGTGTGTGGGGGGGGTGTGGGAGGAGGGGACTGGGGATTGAACTTAGGGACATTCAACCTCTGAGCCACATCCCCAGCCCCACTTTGTATTTTATTTAGAGACAAGGTCTCACAGAGTTACTTAGTATCTCGCCGTTGCTGAGGCTGGCTTTGAACTCCCAATCCTCCTATCTCAGCCTCCCTAGCCTCTGGGATTACAGACGTGTGCCACCGTGCCCAGCTGGTTCAATGTAATTTTAATTTCTTCTCTTATTTAGTCTTTTTCAAAGCTTCAATAAGGAAAATTCCTCTTTAATTTGTTCCATCTCTCAATAGCTAGAGAAAATGCATGGCTCAGAGGAGTTGAAAGGCTGAAAAGGAGAGGGTTGGGCACTATTTCTCCTTTCTAGGGATTTTTAAATCAACCGTTGAAACTGATTGTGGAATATCTTCTTGCTTTCCATGAGGGAGGACCCGTGTGGCAATTCAACCCCCTGGAAGACTCCCTCAGTGTCCCCGAACATCACCCACCTGTTCCAGAAGCAAAAATGGACACCAGCCAACCCCTCACCCTCCTGCCAGTGCAGCACCAGAGAGAAGCTCACCATGCTACCTGAGTGCCCCGAGGGTGCCGGGGGGCTCCCACCCCCACAGGTACCCAGCACGGGAAGCCAGGGTCCCATCTGCCTGCAGTCCCAGGGATGGGGGTTGCTTATTACCTCCTGAGCTTCTATCCAAATAACATTTCAAACTGTTAAGTGAGCAAGGCTAGATCAGGGGGCTAAGCCTGCATCCCTGTGTCCTTCAGAGGTCTTTCCCAGATGAACTTATCACTATGCCACCCAGAGGAAGTCACTAACCCAAAGCTTCATTTCCTACCAAACACCTCCTATTCAGTCCAGTATGGCCTCCTAGCTGTCTCGCAGAGAATGACCTTGGACAGCCCCTCTCGTGATTTATCAAAAATGAACAATCCTCAAAGAGGCAGTGTGGTACAGTGGGAAGAGCACAGGCATGAGGGTGAGGGAGGCCTGGATTCATTACATGACCTCTCAGAACCTTCATTTTTCTCACCTAGAAATGCAGGAAAACTGTACTTATTTTGCAGTATTATTATGAAGATTGAATGAAATAATGTGGATAAAGAATTACTTAGAATTAGGTTCAGCTCAAGTGATGAAAACCCCAGACTAACAGTGGGTGAAACAAGGCACAACTCTTGCCTGTCCCATGTGCACATTCATGTGGGTGGCGCATGATGTTCTGCTGCTCATCTATGCCAAGTAGGCCACCATAATCCTGGGCAAAATGGCACTCTACTTTCCAGATAGCAGAATAGAAGAAGGGATAAAGAAAAAGAGGGCAAAATGTGCAAATGTGTGCAAGGAAAACTTCAGAAGCTGCCACATAACATCTTCATTTACATGTCACTGGGAAGAACCCAGCAGCCAGGGAGACTGGGGCTAGAGGCTTTGTTCTGGATGGTTCATTCCCAATGAGAAAGGATAGAGCACTCCCACCTCAGGACCCAGCAGCAGCAGTGAAAGAATGTTAGAGAAGGAAGGGTCCTGAGGTGGGAATGCTCTTCCCTAACTTCTAGTGTACATGGAGATAAAGTAGGAGTGTTTTATTTGACATACTTTTTAGAAAACAATAATTATCATAAATCATCCCATGCATCAGCAATTGTTCCAACCTGGATTCCACCAGGGAAGCTTAGCATTTCCCCTGGATACCATCGACAGCAGAGAAGCAGCCAGTAAAGTGGCAAGAGCCAGGACTATAGTCAGACAGATATGGGTTCCAATCCTAGGCCAACCACCTAAGCATTCTGCAACCCAGTGCATATTAGCCCACCTTCTGAACCTTGGTTTCTCTGTCTATAAATTAAGAATTCTTCTTTCATAACAGTGTCAGGGTTAAGTGAGATCATGTATGTAGAGCACTTAACATGGTGCCTGGCACTCAGCAAGCATCCAGTAGGTGCTAGTTCTCCATCAGAGAGTGGAAAGTGAAGAAAGTGAACCAAGGAGGGAAAGTCAAATGGGAACGGCAAGGGGGAGATGAAAGTGAAGAAAAAAATGAAAGAATGGTGCATAATGATGGTGGTTTAATGCCCCCCAACCCCCACACCTGCTCACCCTAGGTCACACCCTGGATAGAATGAATGCTGTTGCCCAAGGCTCGTGACCAGCCTACCAAGTTGGTTAGCACAATAAACTCTATACTATGCATACCTGAATATGAAGTATTATTGCCACCTGGAGGCCAAGCTTGTGCATTTTTGAATTCTCCAAAAATTTTAAATTAACTAACTAGCTTATAGTCCTAGATGTATTTTCAAAGTCATTTGTAAATTATAAGGCACTATTCCAATTCTTTCATTCATGTCACAAATTTATTGTGTGACAGCTGTGTGTCAGAGACTACTCTGAAAACTGGGAACATAATAGCCAACAAATCAGAGGAAGACCCTGTTCTCCCTGAAGTGATATCATACCAAGGAAAACAGAAAAAGTAAATAGTCCATCAGAAAGGAAGTCTCAGGCAGAGATGAGCACTATGAAGCGAACACAAGCCTATGTGGTGGTGAGAACTCAAATGTGGACTGAGAGTGAGCTGTGTGCAGTTCTGCAGGGAGAGTTTGCAGGCAGAGTGAACCACCAAGTGCAGAGCCATAACAGGAGGGAGAGGTGCCCCCTGAGAATGGGTGGAAAAGGGAGGGTGGCAGGTGAGTTCAGAGAGGGGGCAGGGCCAGATTACAGGGGGCCATAGGGCCTTGACAATGAGATTGGGTTGGACCTTAGGGTTTATTGGCGAGTGATAAGCAAGGTGGCTAAAGTGTGTGACTTGTATTTTGATCTGGAAGCTGAGTGGAGAATGGAACATGGAAGACCAAGGATGGAGACAGAATGGAAGTTTCCGTGTAGACCTAGGTGAGGTCTAGATGGTAGCTTGGACTAGGGTGCCAAGATTGGAGCTGGAGAGATGCAGATGGCTTAAGCCATCCTATCCTGTCAATGGTTTGGAGGAAAAGAAGAGGGATCAAAGGTGACTAGCCCATGATTGATATGGAAACTAGGATAGCTTCAGTGCTTTATCTAATATTTTCCTTAGCATCTGAATCCATAAATAATTTTTGGAGAACAACAGCAGTTTCACAAATTTTTAAGATCTCAAATTCCAAAGTGATTAATGTTAGTCTCATTGCCTCAGAGAATACAGCGCAGCACTGAAATCCTACAAAACCTTACAAACAGGAACATTTCCGACTACTTGGTAAAAACGTATCCAGCTCTTATAAGAAACAGGTAAGAAGAGACCTTTGACTCTTATCATCCCCGGGCCCCTATAGACAATATTGACTAGGGACAGAACACTTTACCTATAACCATGGCAGTGAAATGTTTTCTGATTTCTAATATGAGGGCCTCGACCATGAGAAAAAGCAACTGAAATATATACAAGCAAAATACCATGTGAGATTCATTTCATTTTGCATTTTTATATTTAGAGCAAACAAAGTTTAACCCAGGCACTATTAAAAATATTACCAGAAACACAGAATTTATTAAGTTATGCAGCCTTGTATTTTAACTGGTTAACAGAGAAGTTTGGAGAGGGGAGTGTAAGTCAAGAGGTAGAAGAAGAAAAGAGAAGCAGGAAGGAAAAGTAAGAGGCAAAAGGAGAAAGGACAACCTTAGGTCCAAAGTGATAGTGCCCCTGGAGAGGGGTGACCAGGTTAGCTACAGTGGCCATACTTCAACTCTAGGTTATCATCTGTTATCACTGCCCTTGAAAACGCCCATGAACCCTTCAGTACGTATCTAGTTCTCTCAGCTCTGCAGCTGTTCTTACCATGCCCCACCTCTGGGATGGAAGGCCTTCAGCATCCCCTATCAGAGCCAACGGCTTGACAGGAGATCCTAAGGAACTGTGAGCCAGTCCCCACACGTCTGGACTGTAAAATAAAACATAGCATCTAATTTTAGTAGTATTTTCAGTTGGTTTCCCAACCAGAGCCCTGAACTAGGGACAATTACACTCAAATGATAGAACACACCACAGATGGTGAAAGCAGCTGCTGGGAGGGCAGGGCCAAGCCAACAGTTAGCAAAATGAATGCCATCCAAGCCCAGAAATAACAGCAGTGTGCACAGAGTTGATTCAGTAATGCAGTAAGCAGCAGCCACTCTCCACAGCACATTTGCAATATGGGATTTTAGATTTTTTTTTTTTTTTTACTCACTGATTGATGACAGTGAAAAAGGGCCTGAACTCTGAGGTCTAGGGTTGGTGTCTGCCTGTTTCCCATCTTGTCAGTTTTCCTCTGATTGTCGGAAGTCAGGGTCTTACCTCTGAGTGAGGAAAGTCAGAATTTCCCCCAAGTGTGCAGGGGATCTCGTTTGTACAGGTACAACAGTAAGGGCTATAGCCCTCACTCCACACTGGCATGGTCATTGCCATGTTTTCTGGGTCTACACTGGATACACCAGCCTGACATGTGAGCTGATTATGTATCCATTTGGAAAGTCCAGCATGCTGGGGGACTGGGGGATCCAGTGGCGAAAAACATTAGTCCTTTCTCTGTGTGTTTCCAGACTTGGCCTCCAGGCTGGGTGGCTTCCACACTGGATATCAGAAATTGCTAAAATGGTCCTAAAGACTGAAACATCCCAATGATTATTTGGGAAGGAAAATTAATACTGTCATACTTATGATAGTTATTGCTTGATTTTTATTTTGGCTTTCAGCTTAAAGAGCAAATTCTGGGTCAACGAACAGAGGTAAGAGACTGTTATAAGAAATACAATCTCAGATTATAAGCCTGAACTTCCCTTGGTCTATTCATTTTAGGTCTTAGAGGGTCTAGTTCAGCCCTAGAATTCACCCCATTCCTGAACCATCCTAGAGGCTCATGTGGTTCCTGAGACTTGGAGAATCTTCAAGGAGTACTTAGGAGTGAGCTGTCACTCCCTCAGGGACTAGGCCTCTGGAATGGGTGCAAGGGTGATGTTGACTGCCTTTCCTGGGTAGCTTCTAGACTATAAAGTGAAATTCAACTTTTAGAAATGCCACTAGAGGGAACTGGAATACCTCCACTGAAGCAGAAAGTGGGAGTGAAGGGGCAATTTTAGATCCTGAGAAATAAGGATTTCCTCCTCTGCTTTGCTTTACCAGGGAATTTATTTTGTTCTGTCAAATTTGGCTTTTATCCTGAATTGAAGACTTTTTTTTTTTTTTTGGAGTAGAAGGTACTAGGGATTGAACTCAGGGGCACTCGACCACTGAGCCACATTCTTAGGTGTATTCTGTATTTTATTAGAGACAGGGTCTCACTGAGTTGCTTAGCACCTCACTAAATTGCTGAGGCTGGCTTTGAACTCACAATCCTCCTGCCTCTGCCTCCCAAGCCTCTGGGATTACAGGTGTGTGCAACTGTGTCTGACCCATTGAAGAGTTTTAAACCAGAGAGTGACAAATTCAGTTTGGTCACTTGAGACTAGAGCAGTATGGAGGATGGAGCCAAAGACCAGGATCCCAGTTAAGAAGTTAGCAAGAGGCAGGCTGGTGGGTGCTGCCGAAGTTGTGGCGGGCTAACAGGCATTAAGACAGGAACAGCAGTGCTTGGCCCCATTTAGATAAAGTGCATACAGTGGGACCACAAATACATGAAGGACAAACGTGGGGGTGGAGGAGAGTCAGGAAAACATCAAAGAGGGAAGAGAGAGAGTTAAAAGCCGAGTTGGAATTGGCCAGATGCTCAGAAAAAGAAAACAGCCTGGGAAGCAAGGCAGGGAGACCCAAGGGAGACCCAGACCTTTTGGAGCTCTAAAAGAGATTCAGCATGGCTGGAACACGTCCCTCAAGGGAAGCTCTGAGGAGCGCTGAAGTTGGAGAATAGCAGAAGCCAACCTCAGAAGGGCCCTATATCAAGGGTGAGATCCAGCCTTCACCTTGGAGCAGCAATGGGGAAGAGCTAACAGTTGGTTTATAACTGGGTGTGATGATACACGCCCACAGTGGAGCATTCAGGATGCTAAGGCAGGAGGATGTCTTGAGCCTGGGAGTTAGAGGCCTGCCTCGACAACATAGTGATACCCTGGTCTCAAAAAAAAAAAAAAAAAAAAAACAGAAACAAAAACATTAGTTTGAAAAGGGAAGCAGTGTTGCTTGCTAGTCCAGAAAATACCCCCTGAAGTACACATTTTCCTACAGAAGCTGGGAGAGTCACAAGGAGGTATGACGTTCCTTGCATGGATCTGAGGATTCCTTGTTGCCTTGTAGATATGGAGGAATTTCCATTGGAGGAAAACTCCCAGTGCTCCTCATCACTGGGGAAGATCTTGTTGGTTTTTTAAGTGAACTTGGCCAGATGATGAACGTGAGCGGGGTATGTAAACAGATTGGAGATTTGAAATAGAAATTATCATGAGTGTCACAGACAAACAAAATAAAACAGAACCCTCTTGCTTGTTTTTTATGGTTATCTAGGGTCCTATCACTAGAGAGGCCTCTAAAGAAATGTCTGATTTCCTTAAATATCTTGAAACTGAAGACAACATTAAGGTACTGGACCTGTGTAATATGCCATAGAGGTAGAAAATCATGTGATGTGAATCTGTTATTTTATTGTTGTTTTTCCAGCATAATTAAATTCCATCCCTCCTCTTGCTGAAATCTTGTGAAATGTCTCCCAGCTGCCAAACCCTGCCTCATCCTCACTTTCTTTTTCCTGTTGCTAATTCTGCTTTAAGCAGCCCTTGTTAGTGCCAGTCTCGGGTGTCAGGTTGTGGCACAGCCTAACAAATGCCACCTCTGCCCTCTAGGTGTGGTTTAACAACAAAGGCTGGCATGCCCTGGTCAGCTTTTTGAATGTGGCCCACAATGCCATCTTGCGGGCCAGTCTGCACAAGGACAGGAATCCTGAGGAGCATGGAATCACTGTCATAAGCCAGCCACTGAACCTCACAAAGGAGCAGCTCTCTGAGATCACAGTGTAAGCCACCATGGCCCCCAGCCTCACAGCTTTTTGGTCACCTCCTCCACTCTTTGGATTTTCACAATCATGAAGGGCAGGGCTGGATGGCAATGTAAATGCTTCATGGACCAAACTGCTTGGCCATGCTTTCTCCTCCATATTTATTTGGAAAGTAGACTTGTATTTCACTCCATTCCCTTTGGGCTTTTGATAACAAGTTGCTCCTGCAGTCTACCCAGATGTTCTCCTTGCCAGCATGCAAAATGATTGCCAGAGGCTGAGAAGGCTCAGTGAACCTCTCCTCTCCCAGGCATGATCATCCAAGACTCTGCTAATTCCCTCAGGTGGTCATACTTTGGAGCTGTCGACATATCTGTCTTGTTCAAGCTTAGGCTCTGAGGCACAGCTTCACTTGGTAAAAACATCCACCTTGTGCACTGTGCCCTATTTGCTCTTTCTGAGAACTATGTGCAGGAGGAATTTCTGGGACTGTCTTTATTAGTGCACACTTCTCCTGGGAAGTTCATTTAACTACCCAGTATACCCTGAGTACTGCTGAACATGCCCAGAGTGTCTGCTAATTCTTGGGCCTTGATGCCTTTCTCTGGACACTCCCTGGGTTCTGAACTGTCCTACGTTAAATTCTCACTCAGCCCAAGTTTCCATACCTCCTGCCAAGCTGTTCAAATATAGATTATGAAAGAATAGTTTTCTGTGATTATAAAATAATATATGTTCATTAAATAAAATTTAGATAATAAAGTTTTAAGAACTTATCATCTATAACCCTACCTAATTTAAGGTATTGCCTGTAAGCATTTTTGAGCTCCCATCCGGTCATGGTTCTATGTGGTATATAGGGCTGTTATCAGTCAGGTTGTGATTTTGGCACATGGTGCCTTTGTGTACAGATGCTCCTCTCTGCAGGTGGGCACAGCTCTGCACAGGGACTGTGGCTTGTACATAAAGTTCAGGCTGGGTTTCACCCCCTTAGCCAGATGCCTTCTATTTGGTCCAGGAAAGGGTGAATAGAGCCTAGCTCCTGTATAGCTTGCCTGCTCTCTTTTGCCTTGTTTACATTATGAACATTTCCCCAAAATGTGATTGAACACAATAATTTATTTCTTTTGTTAAAAAGCCATATAACTGTCCATATAAAAACTCAAGAGATTATACACATAAATTATTTGTGCTAACAAGAGTTTTGTAGTATATAAGATTAATACAAATTTTGATTTCTATAACCATAAATAGTATTAAAACATAATAAAGGGCTGTGGCTGTGGCTCAGCGGTAGCACACTTGCCTGGCATGTGTGAGGCACTGGGTTCGATTCTCAGCACCATGTATAAATAAATAAAGGTCTATCAACAACTAAAAAAAATTTTTTTTAAAAACATAATAAAAAGAAGGGTTGGGCTGGGGATGTGGCTCAAGCGGTAGCGTGCTGGCCTGGCATGTGCGTGGCACTGGGTTTGATCCTCAGCACCACATTAAAAAAATAAAGATGTTGTGTCCACCGAAAAACTAAAAAAAAAAAAAAAATTAAAAAATTCTCTCTCTCTCTCTCTCCTTCTCTCAAAAAAAAAAAAAAAGGGGGGGGGTTGTCTAGAAATGCTCACATGAAACAGAAAGGCAGCCTACAAATATCCCTTTAACCTTGACCCAGACTGATTAAGACAGTTCAGGGGAATGACAAGCTTCAGGCTGGGGACTGGGAGTCTGGAGGCCATTACCTGGGTTGGGTAAGGACTGCCAGTGCCTGTCATGCATCTTCTCCTGTTTATGCTCCTGTTTCCTCACCTTTCTCTCCCTGTATCTCTCGTCCTGCTGCAGGCTGACCACATCAGTGGATGCTGTCGTTGCCATCTGTGTGATTTTTGCCATGTCCTTTGTCCCAGCCAGCTTTGTCCTCTACTTGATTCAGGAAAGGATGAATAAAGCCAAGCACCTCCAGTTTGTCAGTGGAGTGAGTGCCATCACCTACTGGATGACCAACTTCCTCTGGGACATTGTAAGTGTCAGGCCTTCCCTCACCTTCTTGGGCCCAAGGTGGCACTCAAGTGTGCTCTGACAGAAGAGATACTACATGGAGGGGTTCTTGCACTGTTCCGGCTGCTGGAAGGTGCTCAGCTAATGGCTTTGTGTGCTACTGTCCCTTGACATCATCTTAGAAAGGCACTGGATCCCAGAGCTGAGGAAGGCTGTGAATCACAAATTCACAACTGTGGACTGAGGGCTCTGTGTCCTGCACTAAGGGGTTTTCTGACCCAGTCACTGCACTTCAGGCAGGAGTCTGGCTTTCCCCAAAATAGTTTGGATGTGGGAATGGACCAAGGGGTTCTTCACCCAAAATCTCCTTCTTAAATCCCACCTCATTCCCAAAAACTCCAAAGTAGAACTTCCTTAGAGTTTCACCAGATGAATATAGGATGCCCAGTTAAATCTGAATTTCAAACAAACAATAAGTAAAGTTTTAGTGTAAGTATATCCCACTTTAAATATTGCATAGGACATATTTATACTAAAAAAACTAGTGGCCATTTATCTGAAATTCAACCTTATTGAGCATTTGGTATCTTTATTTGCAAATCTGGAAACTCTACCCAGGAGCTTTATTTTGCTTCCCCAAAGTTACCAGACAGACCTTCATTATATCAGATTAGCCACCACTTTAGGGAAAATAAGAAAAAATTATCAGAGCAACAATGGACTACCACATTGCTTACAACCAAGGTTTCTGGGAACAGGAAGGAATTAGAATGGGGTACTTTATGACAGGCCACATGGTCAGAACTTATTGGTAGCAAAGGCCTAGTTATAATATAGCAAGGATCACTGTGACACCAACCAGGGGCTGGGGTGTAGCCCAGTTGTAGAACACCTGCTTTGCATGTACAAGGTCCCGAGTTCAATCCCCAATACAGCAAAAAAAGGAGAGACAGAAAACAACAACTCATCTCTTCTGGGTGTCCTCAGTAATATGAGGACACATTTGATTCATCTCAGCATCCTAAGACCACTGGGAGCTCCACCAGATGACACATCAACTGGTAGAGGCCAGAAGTAGCATCTTGTAGAGGACAGTACAAGTGACCCTCTCTGTGGCTTTTGACAATAATACTGAAAATTAGGATTCCTGAAGACATGATTTCTTTAATCTGACTCAACTAATTAAGCAGCTCTCACTTAACATTCAAAGCTAGAAATTTTCAGTAGTGTTTAAATTCTTTCCTTTCTTTTCCATCTGCGTGAAAAAAACACAAGCGCATAGGAACTCAGAAGCTGCAGGCTTCTCTTTGGGCAGAGGTTACAGTGGCCCTGAGATTTTAACATGAAAGGATCCAGGCTCTCCTGCCCTGAGAAGCTACTTATTAAAGTGCTGAGATATACATATATATATTTTCACTTTTAAAAGATGAGGAATACCATTTGCACTTGGAGTTGACCTATGCGTGTGTGTCTACAGAGAGAGGACTCAGCCTATAGAAAGATACAGCTAGAAGGACACAGTGGCCATCTGGAGTGGAAGCCATACTGACAACGTAGACCCTAGTCCATCTGTTGAAGGGTTAGAAGAGAGAAGATAGTGCACTGGGTATGGTGTTGGCAGGCTTCCTGATGCTTTAGAATTTTAAAGCTGGCCTGGAATCTGAATCTCAGAATCTGTAGTGCTGAATTTCAGAAATCTGTTACCAGCAGCCAGGCCAGAGAGCCTTCCTGGATTCCACCTGGCTGGATCTAGCCACCTTCCCACATAAGAAATAGGCAAATGATGGAAAAAGTAAATATGAATTGTATGCAGTTTGATCAAGCTGGAGAGAAGAAGCTGTATAAAATTCAAACAGAAAAAAAAAAAGAGTTGCATAAAATTTGCTTTTTCTTTTTTTATTATTTGCCTACTTCTCATGTGGGCAGATCCAGGCAGGTTTCCTGGCTGAACTGCCAGATAACAGAATCACCCTCATTAGCCAGTGGTAAAAAGAAAAAAAACACGCCTGGGGGTCATCATCAAATGAACAATTATTGTTTATATCAGTCACTTAGCACATCTGTGGTGTTTTAAATTCCTATCTTTTTATATGTGTCATCTCCTTTTCTTTTAAATGTTGAAAAGAAATGTAAGTCTTATGTAAAAATATCAAGTACAGTGTAAAACTTTTATCTGGGTCATTTGGGAGCAACTTCTTGACAAGATTCTCCCCCCACTTCTCTCTCTCTTTCTGACACACACACACACACACACACACACACACACACACACACACACACA